CTGTAGGAAATATATGACATTATAAATGAAGTTCATGTTGTATGTCTTCTAGCTGACTCTAAAGACTTGAGTTTTGCGAAAGTTGTCCAAGATGAGAAGTGGAGAACAACCATGGATGAAGAGATTGAACGCAACAAAACTTGGGAGCTGACCGACCTTCCTGAAGGAGCTCGACCCATTGAAGTAAAATGGGTGTACAAAAAAAGATGAATGTTGAGGGAGAGGTTGAACGTTAGAAGACTTGAATTGTTGTGAAAGACTATAGACAAAAGGAGGGAATCGACTATGATGAAGTATTTGCTCCTGTCACGATAATGGAGTCAATCCGACTTCTGATCTCATTAGCTGCTCAAAACCAATGGACGATTCTATAGATGGATGTGAAGTCGACATTTCTAAATGGAGTGCTGAAGGAGGAGGTGTACGTCGAGTAACCACTCGGGTACATGAAGAGAGGGGATGTGAAGAAGGTGTTGAGATTGAGAAAAGCCCTTTACGGGCTGAAGCAGGCTCCTTGTGTCTGGAATGAGAGAATTGATGGGTATTTCAAGAAAAATGTGTATGAGTAATGTCCATACGAGCATGTCTTGTACACAAAGAAATTCGAAAAGGACATGATGGTAGTTGCTCTCTATGTCGATGACCTCATATTCACTGGAAGCAACACAAAGCTGATTAAGGAGTTCAAGGAGGTAATGAAGAAAGAGTTCGAAATGACAAACTTAGGCCTGATGAAATATTTTCTTGGCCTAGAAGTGAAGCAGCTGGAGGAAGGGATTTTTATATCCCAAGAAAGGTACGCGCTTGAAATTTTAAAGAAGTTTAAAATGGAGGACTGTAACCCGGTTTCTACTCCAATGGAACCGGACACTAAAATCTCAAAGTTTGATGGAGGAGAACAAGCTGATTCTGGGAGATATCAAAGCTTAATCGGAAGTTTGAGGTACCTTACAAGCACGAGACCCGACCTAATGCTGAGTGTTGGGATAACGAGCAGATATATGGAGAATCCAAGCTACACACATTGGAAGGCTTTGAAGAGAATTCTGAGATATGTTCGAGGAACCCTATCACTTGGTCTTTTCTATTCAAAATCGGATGACTATCAATTAGTGGGTTACTCAGATAGTGATTGGTGTAGTGATGTTGATGACCGGAAAAGTACTTTAGGTTAAGTATTCCTATTCTGAAAAATAACTTTTACTTGGCTGTTAAAGAAGCAGCCTATTGTAACTCTGTCAATCTGTGAGACTGAGTATGTGGCAACCTCTTGGAGTGTGTGTCATGCAATCTGGCTTTCAAATATACTAAGGTATTTGGGAGTGATCCGAGACGAAGGAAATGTAATCTGAGTTAACAACAAGTCGGCGATCGAGTTGGCAAAGAACCCGTTTAATCACAGAAGGAGCAAACACATCGACGTCCGATTTTATTTCATTCGAGAACAAGTCAGAGAAGGAAAGGTCAAAGTAGAACATGTTGAAAGCCGAGCTCAAGCTGTAGATGTATTCACTAAGCTACTGCCGATCACACAACTGGAGAGTTGTAAAATGCTGATTAGAATGAGAGATGGGAAGATTATTTAAGTTTAAGGGAGAAATTTGTTGTAAAACTTAAATTAGTATTTTAGTATTCCTAGAATAGTATTAACGGTTTTAGGCATGAGTTGTATAACCAATAAATATAGGGAAGCAAACCTATTATTAATAAGTATCATGATTTACTTTTTGCCATCTGAAGAGACAAATATTTTGTTCATAAATACTTGTAACAACTCATTTGAAATTACAACAGGAAAAATATTAAGAGATTAAAAAGAAAACAGAGTCCTGTAACTTCTATTTTGCGTCTTATTGTTGCCAACAAAACGTACGGAATCCATTTTCATTAACCATACATGCTCATGACGGACCATGTTCATCCTTAATTTGGAGGCTAATTTTTTGTTCTGAAAATAAATAAATTATTAGAAGAATAACCATTGGGATGAAGGCAATATTTAGAGCTTTACATTAATTTATTTGGAATATTGTGGTCCATATCCTATTCCTGTTCTAAAAAGTAAAATATATTTATAAAACGTAACGGAAAGTGCAAGCAATGACAACATAATAATATATGGTGGTGGATGAGGACGAACTTTACCTGCACATGATCAATCATGTCGCTGTCCTCAGAATCGATAAACTCTACCACCCAAAGAACCCCAAGAAACTTCAGATAAACACACAAACTAAATAATTAGAAACAAAATAAGTAGAGATAGCTATAAGCAGATGAATCAAGTTAAACTGGAGAGAGAGTACGTGGGAGACAGAGAAGGGAGAGCAATGCGTTGGGTAAGAGCATGAAAAAAGAAATGCACCCCGTGAAAGAAAACCATGATTCCTGTGCTACCTAACACCAACAGCTCCATCCTCCTCTTCACAAAGCTTTTGAAACTTTGATTTGAATTTCACCACAGAATCGAAAATATATATGTGATGTCTGTCACACTAGAGTTGAGTTGAAACAGGTTATGGTTAACAAAGTATAATTTTATTTATGAGGGGTGTACAGATTGAATGGTTTTTAGAGGAAGGAAGATTTGATTAGTGCATCCCAACTCCTTTAATATTTTATTTCACCGTCATTTCCATCACAAAAAACTAATCAAATCGGATAAGACATGCTGTCTAACCATTATATTCTCAATTATTACCAATAACTTTTCCCATGATTTATTTATTTTATAATTATAATATTAAAATAAGTTGTGAAAATGAATATATTTTGGAAAATCATTATCTTTATATAATAACCCATTTATGAAAGAACTTTACCTGTAGCAGAAGATAATAAATGTTACAAATTTATTCTTAAATACATAATAAAAATAAAAAATAAGTTTAAAATTTTTACTGTAATAATATTTTATCTTTTAATATTATATATATATATATATATATATATATATATATATAATTTCAATGATTTAGAAGTTATCATTACAACCTTAAACTAAAAATAAAAAATTAAATCAATAAAATAATATATGGACCGAAAGTCTAAATATACAATATGTCTTTAACCCAAATAATTATTGAGATTAGAGTTAAATAGTTATGGAAAACATGAAAGATAAGTTACATGGTATGGATTAAAGCATTTTGTATAAATTTTTCATATTGTGCAGAACAGAAAACAGGCACATCAAGGAAGAATAAATGATATACATGACTTTCAAGCGTTTCAATGGAATGATACATTAATATTATGCGACTGAGTAATTCAACTTATAAAAAATTACCAAATCTCCTTTTCAAAAATGTATAGATGTCACATTATAAACTTGTGCTAGTTTACCTTGTTACGTATTACTTGCTTTATTCTGACGAAATTGCAAAGAATCTAGAAAACAAACAGGGACTCAAATGATAGTATAAATCCAGCAAAGTACAATTTGAATGTCTTGCGCCAATCTGATTCAAAGAAACTATATATCTATGAAACAGATCTTGCAATAACACTTGATCACTCTTCTTCTTGCTTAGAACAATGCTCATATAATTCTTTCAACAAATAACTTTCTGCTATTTAGATATCAATAATGATTATAAAAATAATAAGCTTCCATTTCCACATTTACTTCAATGCATTGTAAAGGTAAAACATGTTTTGCAAGTGCATCAATAATCCCTCCAAACATGGACAAAGGTGCAATGGTAAAACTCGTGTCTCAATCTATCAACTTCTTGCACTAATTCACGAAATTGGTCAATTGGAGAGCCACAATGAATTCCCTCTAAAGAATCCGATTCAACAATGACATAATGTTGGATAGTTAGGTGGAGGATGCCAACACATCTTAACCCATCTTGCATTTCAATCATATTCCAAAAGGGTGCATGGAAACTCAAACCTAAATAGATTTCATCCATCAAAGTTTGAATATGACCAACTAAATAGGAAGAAGATACCAAAAAGTTTCGTTCAGTCTCAACCAAAGTTAATGCAAAAGTTTTGAGACCATTATTTTTCTTTACATTTAATAATAATAATGTAAAGTCTACTGGAATGTTTTAAGTATTAACTCACTTTTTCAAATATTTATTACCAAACAAACTAACATAATTTTCATGAAATAGAAACAATAGATTTACATATATTAACAAAAACTTACTTAAAATTTAGTTAATAATTTAAAAATCAAGTTAATAACATTACTTAAACTATTTATAGATATTTCTTAAAGAAAACTATTTATGGAGGTAAAGAGCATAAATATATTCAATTAACAAAACATAGATATAATATTATAGATTTATTTGAACATACTTTTATAAAAAATACTACTTTAAAAATAGGAATTTAGATAAATTATCTAGTAAATTTTTTATTATTTTATGGGTTTTCTTATTTTATTTTTCCATTTTAAAGATGCTCATAGGTGAGTTTATCCAATGTATATGTAGCATACCATTACCAAAAATGAATATATAAAATAATTAGACTACACAAAATATTGGGTTAAAAAAAACATATTTACATTAAGGAAAAGTAAAATAAAGTTAAAACGTATTTTGACTTTCTCAATTTTCTATTTAAAGTAAAATTAATCTTAATCCTTATATTTACAAATAATGCTTTTAATTCTTATATTTTTATAATTTGTGAATTTTCCCCTTGTTTAATATTTCAATTTTTATGAAACAAGCTAAATTCACATCAATTATATATAATACGAAAACTGAAATTATAATTGTACTGAATTGAACGTAAATTAAAGCTAAATTGAATAAAAAAGTGGGAAACTAAAGTCACGTGACCTTTGAAGATCGAAGTGGAAACGACGTGTCGCTTGATTTACAAAGGAAGTGCAATGGGAGGTGCAAAAGAAATGCATGAAACTGGTTCTTCTGCTGGTAGGGCTTGTGTTTGTTAAAAGAGTCTTACAGAGAAGAGTGAGTGAGTTGTTTGTGTGTGAATCGTTCGGATCGATCGAGTAATCATCAATTTCAATGGCATCATCCAATTCCACTCAGCAAGAGGCGAACAAACCTGCCAAGAGAAAACCTGTGTTCACTAAAGTGGATCAGCTCAAACCTGGAACCAATGGTCACACGTTGGTGGCTAAGGTCTTGTCCTCCGACACCGTCGTACACAAGCCGCGGCCCTCCTCTGCCCACAACGTCAAACCCACTGTCATCGCTGAGTGCCTCATCGGCGACGACACCGGCACCATCATCTTCACCGCTCGCAATGAACAAGGTACTCCAATTTCACCTACCCATCCTCGCAAAACCTTTTCTTTTTTACTTATTTCAAAATCCCTTTTATCAAAACGGAACCTTTCCACTTGGGCACTATTTTACTTGTCTCAATTTGGAGTTTATTTTTTCATTTGGGGTTTTATCTAGCGATCTGCATTGTTCTCGGTTTGTGAGATTGGGCGTTTTAGGTTCTTTGGTTTCAAGAATGCATCTGGGTCTGTGATGGTGGTGAGTGGATCATAAGTATCTGATTCGATAGAAAAAATAAACCTTTGTTCCCATATATTTTTGGTTGGATAGCATGATACCTGAATGTTTTTAATCGCTTGAAATCTCTTTCTTTTGCTTTACTGATCTTCATCCAAGAGGTTTGATTCAGTTATATAATCTGTTAACCAGCATAGAATTGGTAAATTCCTGTGCCTCTTGCTCTGCTCCTTTGATGAAGGATAAATATTGGTTGTTTTCCCATTCCTTGAGGAGTTGATATGAACTATGAATATGATATGATATTCTGGGGGCATTTTATTGTGGAAATGAAAGTGTGATTGTGGTAACATTGTTCCTTTTCTTGTGTGTTTGTGATGAAACAAGAAGTTTTGCTTAGAAGGTGATAGTGATGAGATTAGGCGTCTTATTTTTAATTTTATTTTCCAAATCCAAACTACTTCAATCAACATTTTTAGTTCATGCTTGTTTGCACCCGGTTCCAACTTTTTGTTAATATTTCTCTTGCTATTTCATGATTTCCAATGTTCACGGGGTTGAATTACCATGAATGCCCCTTTCATTAACTTATTACTACTAGATTAATTTTCACACTTACTCCTGCTAGATTAATTTTAACTTTGAAACAAATGGACTTTGTCTTAAATTTTATTTCTATACTGATGAACAACATCATGATTTTTTACTTTTCCGGATCCACGCTTTTGAATTTGTTAGTGCCTTCTGTTTCTGTAGACTTTGTCCGAGCATCTCCAATGTGAATGTGAATTGTTATTTGAGATACTTAAATAAAGAATTAGTTAATTGAAACAACTTTCCATTGCAGAAATCCGATGTGTCATTGGTAGAAGTAGTTTCATCAAGCAATTTAAAATATGGAGTTTGAACTAACAAAACATTGAGTGACGGTTTTAATTTTTATTTGAATAGTTCATACTCTGTAAGTCTTTATGTATAAGCATTTGCATTTAAATAAAGTTTAAGCTTAATTTTATTGGTGGAAGTTACATTGATGTACTTCCTTTGTAGGTAATATGGTATGGGTGGTGATATATGTGTAGACAGAGAATCAAGGCACCAAATATATGTTCTGTTTGAGTGATTAGATGACATTTTTCTTCTATGCAGTTGATTTGATGAAGGCTGGATCTACAGTAATTCTTCGTAATGCAAAGATTGACATGTTCAAGGGATCAATGAGGCTGGCTGTTGATAAATGGGGACGTGTCGAGGTAACTGAGTCTGCAGATTTTGTAGTTAAAGAGGATAACAACCTATCTCTGGTTGAATATGAATTGGTGAACGTGGTTGAAGAATAATCCCATAGAAGAGTGCAAAAAGAGCTTTATGATTTGGTTATGGTGCAATGGATACTCTGAAGGTAAAACTTAACTGGTGATGGATGGTTGGTATACATTCTCACTTTAATTAGCTTGTATTTCCTCTTTAACATGCTTGACATCATTTTGGGTTAAGTTGATGTCACTTGAACAACCTTGTGTCAAGTGAACAAGATTTGCTATTATCTTCATCAGCAACTGTATTCAATGAACTTAAGTATAGTATTATGTTAATATAGTTATCGGCATCACCTGTTTCTTTGCAGTTTCCTGTGCATTGGGTCTTGCACTTTAAGTATTGATGATGGAGAAAACGTGTTTACGTTAATGAAGCGGCGCAATCATTATTCATATCTTTGGCGCAAATAAGATAAAACAGTGGTTAAGAAATCGGGTTGAAGTCAAAAGTCCATAATTTCTTTTTTTGGCAAAATGAAATTCCATGATCAGGTGTCATTCATACTCATAAATAATAAGTTTTATAGGTTGCATGCGTCACATTTCTTTTTACATGATATGGAATTTTGTTCATATTAGTGATTGAATTTGAAATGTTAGGAAGCAAAATTCTCATAAATATGCTAGAATAGGAATAGAGGGCTATTAATTACCAGAATGTTAAAAACTTGATACCCAAATAATTATTGTATCCATCCAAATCTATATTTTTGATGGAATGGAAGCATATATTGCTTTTGTAGATATGTTTATTAGAAAGCCAACCACCAAACAACTAGATGAACAGGCAAGAGTGGTGTATTGTTGTATACGGTTTCTTCCCATTTGGCAAAATTAAACTGTCCATTGTGGGGTACTCAAATGCACAAATAAACTTTTCTACGTCAATGCTTAAATTTCATTCAAACTTGATCCTCTCTAGTTGCACCGAATATAAAATTGTACATAAATTATACCTGGTTTTTAATTTATGAACATCCATCTTAACCAACAAACAGCACTGCCCTCGGTTTGGTAAAATGATATAACATTTTATTAATTATTACTATCTGCGTTTTTACTTCGGGTAAATTAACGTGAAATGGAAGCAAAATAAATGGGCCTGAGTTAATATCGATGAGTAAACGAAACATCACTGCAAATAATATGATGAACAAAACCTAATTCAGTAGTCCAAGTTTATCTTCTCTGAACGCCACCACCACCTTCAACGAGGCGATGTTGCTTGCCACCAGAACCAAAATTTAAAGGATATTCTAAGAGAAATTAGCATTGAAAATGGAAATTTGACACAATAAAATTGCATTTCCATAATTGAAGTCAAGGAGCGAGTCATGACAATAATAAATAAAGATAAAACTGTTATTTTATCCTTTTTTATTTTAACCTAAACTGTTTATTATTCATTTTATTGTGCCTATTTACATTAATGATTCTGATTATGCATTTTTAACTTCTAATCTATCTTATAGAAATTCTCTGAAATAAATTCTCCAAAATTCTTCAAATTTCATTTTTAACTTTATTCACTAGTTTAATGTGGAAAAAACATTTTTACGTTTTATATTTTTTCTTAAAATTCTTTTAGAGAAACTCGTGCACAAATTGCTTAACACACATGTACATATAGAATAGGTAAAAATGTGAGTTCTAGGATAGAGATTATTTGGTAAATTAATTAGAGGCAAGAGGTGTGATGCCTGTGTCAATTGTTTGCAATTACATGCTTTCAAAAATTGAAGCGTTAAGTGTTAGAATATTAAAATTTATTAGTTGAACAACCTACATCCAGATGATAAAGCGTTCAATTTAATAACGGATACCGTCCTTTTTATCAAGCTATAAAAGTATAAAAGATGGGTTGTATTTTTCATTAATAAACAGTAAAGACGAGGTAAAGTGAAATGTGAAAATTTTCTTTCCTTATGAAACAGTAGGATGAAGAGTATATCGGCATGGCAAGGGAGGCCAACATTGGCATGTAAGATGAAGAGGCTCCTCAGATAGTTCTCATAATACTGAACATTGGTAGTGGAAGCCATCTATAGGGCTCCGAATTAGATTTGCTCTTATATTTTAAGATATCTGATGTTTTGCACTTCGTTTCCGTCAAAAGAAAAAAAATGACTTTGACACAACTTACTGAATCAATTCTGAATCTCCACCCAAATTAATCAGTTGACGTCTTAATTCATCGTACATGCTTGCTCGTGTAACATTTGAAAATAAGTGTGAGGGTAAGGTTTGCTAACACGGATTAAATTCCCATTTCCAATTACAGGGTAAATTAAATCATCGTCCATCGCAGGTAAAGTAATGCTGCAATAATATTATTCTAAAGAGTAATCATACCTAAGCATGGTACCAGCTCTGGATGCTTGTACAATTTAAGTCTTGGGGGTTTTGATATTCAACCAAGGACAAAAATTCTCTAAACAGGCCTAACAAAGTAAACTGAAATCCATGGAAAGTATGCGCAGATGCACCGCATCCAAAGACAGCAATCATCCATCTAGAATTAAAAAAGATAATAATTTTGAGAAAACTTCAATTTATATACTACCATACAAAATCAGAATCAAAAGGTCAACATAATTTAATAGTCATACTGATCTATACTAGTAAATTTTAAAATGCAAATCAGTTAGATTCAAGAGATAAATCGGTGGAGGTAGGGGAAAGCAAAGCAAAATGGAAATGACGAAACATTACATGGCTCGTCCTCAAGCCTAAAAGCCAAATTGCAAATGATCACGACCCTAAACAAGAAAACAGCCAAGTCAAAATAAAGAGTTGCAAAGAAAGTCTAAATGTATAAAAAAGTTTGGAGCGGCAGCATACACATTGGTCATTTTACACAGAATACATTCCAAATTAAGTGCTTACGGACCGGAAACTAGCATCATTCCCGAGATTATTAACAGTGTCCAAGTCAATAATGGTTTTTTGCACCAGCAAACTAAATAAGAAATAGCTGACATTCTGGATTGGTTAATGGACGGTATTAAATTTCATCCACGAACAAAATCATTCCCATTCCCACACATAAACTCAACATAGAGTATGCATATACAGATAGTATATAGAAATCAATATCAAAATGCAATTTTAAAGTGGAGACTAGTTTTTGCGAATTTTGTGTCATTTATATACTTTCAGCAAATGCTTGTTTGACATTAAGGTGTACAATAACAATTAAAAATCCCAAAAGAAAAAATTTACTTGACCACCTTTTTTCAAGCGCATCTACATAAAACTTTCCTCGAACCCTCTGTCATTCATCATACATCATCATTGCAATCTGAGTGAATACAATCAATCAGTATGATCTTCATGTGATTATCTCTTATGTGAACGTTAAGTAATATAAGTCTAGGCATTTTAAAAAATGGGATGCACTAAATACGACAATCCATAACACTTCTTTTAAGAGAACGAGCGAGAACTGCTCAATAACTCAAAGTGAAAGTTCTTTGTTACCGAGAAAACTGCTCAATAACTCAACCCCACATTAGTTTTCATGAGATATGGTGGTCAATTTTACACTCAACTTAGACATTTCATGCTCTCCCTAATCTACACAGAAGTCAAGTTCTCAATGCTTCAAAACCACCCAAAATTTGAAACAAGTCCATGTGTGTGACACCATCTTTGATGCTTGATCTTCATCTAGTCTTCTCTTGCCCTACAAAGAGGAAAAAGTATACATCCTTTCATTTTGAGAGCAAGAGAGAACCTAACCCCAAAACAATAAAATGTTTGAACAGCAGAATAGATACCCATATGCACCCAACACTACTTTCATTTAAAAATTTTGTTCACACAAACCTTCCCGGCCACAAAAGAGGAAAAAAAATGCCAAGAAAACATTTATTTAGTAAAAGAATTTACATCCTATTTTTGTGCAACCGAATAAATAAGAATGTTTCCCTATGACATTGCGTGATAATGAAAGTAATGCGTTAGAAACTTACGACAATTCGCATAACACAGTCTGTATAATTCGTAGAGTTCAGCTAACAATCGATCAAATAAAGAAAGGAAAAATACAATTTAGAACTCATATTCCGAGGAAAATGTTTAGCATGTTTTCAGACAACCAGGTAGGTCCAATAAGTTACAATAACATTACATTTAATTCATTTCAGAATCCAATGTTGGCATTTTATAAACTTAGTTCTTCTATCATATATATCACATACGCATCCAATTAACTACCTTGAAGATAATGGAAAGAAAGTGTTTGGAGGGAATACCTTCAGGGGTCCAACCGTAGGAGTGGCGAGACACAGAGAGCATCGAATTCAGCAATGCGGAAGCAGTAGCACTGTGATAAGGAAGCATCGATTCCACGCAGAAACTCGCTTCCACGGGTAACCTGTCCCAAACAAAAGAATGTTTTAATCAAATTGCAAATGTTTCGGAAAATGCGATAGAGAGGAACCGCGTTACCTGAAAACGCGATTGGAGATAGAGGTTTGCTTTGGGAGAGGAAACGGAGATCGTGCCGGTCTCGGTCTAGCTCCAGCTGCTAGATTGGCCGTACCGGCAGCGCGAGAGGCGGCAGAGCGCAGCAAACACCTGGCGGCGGACATCGTGAAGAATCAGGAAGGGTTTTGGCTTTCTGGATTTATGGTCTCTGTATCTGGGTCGCTGAAATATTGGTTTCAGACTCGGACCGCCACCCCCTTGTCCTGGAGGCTCTCCGGCCGAGGAGGGGCTTGCTATCGTAACCTTTTCTCCCGGTGTACGTGAAAAAGAGTGAGCAGTCTCAATTTCACTACAGGATTTGCGAATGAATGCTGGGCTGGGCCACCTCGAATGGCGTGAGCCGCATGCGGGGAGACCCGCACGTACGGTTTTTAGGGGGATCTGGTCGAAAGACCGGCCGGCGCCCACCAACTCTGGTTAGGTCTGGACTCGAGGTACCAATTCTGGAGCACCCCAGGAAGGGTTTTGGCTTTCTGGATTTATGGTCTGTTTTTGGGTCGCTGAAATATTGGTTTCAGACTCGGACACTGGTTAGGTCTGGACTCTTCTGCGAGATACCAATTCTGGAGCACCCCCTTTTTTGTTTGTTTTTACTTTTGCAAGAGTTATGATATGGGCCTGTGTTTTTGGGTCGCTGAAACATTGGACATCTACATGCAACACCCCGTTTTCTTCAAAAATCACTTTCTTTCTTTTCTTAAAAAAGATTTTTAACTTTTTATACTATTTATTATTTATTCTTTAAAATTTTCTTTACATTTTCCTTTATTTGGTCCTCAACTGCATTGAATTCTAATGATGTAAATGTTGGTAGTTTGCAGTAGTGAAAGGGTTAAACATAAATGGAATTAAACTTGGATTGCAGTAAGAAAATACAAGTAACCTTTTATTATTATCACGTAGTATGAAATGAAAAAACAACACAAGAAACTTGTGAAAGGTAAAACGGGTCATGTAAGAAAAACTTGCTGAAATAACTCGAAATCTTCAGTGGATTTTGACTAGGAGCAATAACAGATTTATGAATAGTATTCTGAAATGGTACAATGATGTTCTAATTCCTTGAACTCTTCTTACTCTTCCTAATCTTTAGCAAGGGTATGCAAATGACTCGAGACATATCCACTTTAGAGCCATGGGAACCAGAAACCTTTGCTAATTTCTTCTTCCTTTCTTCAAACCTTAGTGAGTTTGGGAAGTACAAGCGCCCTTTTTCACCTGGTCTAACTCCAATTAGCTGGGCAAGGGATACACTGTTGTCTTGGAAGAACGATGCCGTGGACTTCTTGTTGCAAAACATAACCAGTAGAATAATAAACTATAATAAGCATTCTAGTTTTTCTAGGTCCATAAAAAGAGTTTACGAATTTATGAAATGACAACGACTAAAAGCATTTTTTGAAACCAACTCTGAGAAAGGAATAAGAATAGAACACCTCTGTATCAAGGTTAGAGGATGAAAATGAAGAGAAACTGGTGGATGGCACGTGCAATTGGTATGGTGCCACTGAAGCTGCAGGGAGGGATTCCCCAACTCTAAGTCTCATGTTCAAGAAGCCAAGCCCAAGTGGCCAGCCAATTGGCATGTCTTCGTTCTGAGAAGATATGGCAGTAGAAATTAGCAACATTAATTGAAAGATTAAATAATTTCAATAAAACATCTGGGCATGTCCAAAATTTCAGTACCTTAATTAGAACATGGATCTACTTGATCTCAGTAAAGATCCTGATTATCATATTCTCATAATTGAAGTTTGGAAGAGTAAACAAAACGGGTAGCGAATTAAACCAAAAAAAATGTAAAATGTCAAACAGAGCCTCTCTATAAATATGAATTATGGTGTCGGCTTCTCTCTTAATTATGATAAATAAAATAAAATAATGACAACTGATGTAAGAAAAGATGGGGGTAGAAGTATCTATTATTTGCTATACAAATCTAGTTGATATGACAATGCAACTCTTTCCTAGCAGAAATGGTAAGGTCTTAAAATTATTTTCTTAAATCCCACAAGCTTTTGTATCAATAAAGAATATACATCAAAAGAATCACAGACAGGGATCAAGTCGGCAAGATATTTGATTCTAACTGTCTAAAGATTCCAAGGTTCAGACATCATTCTGATCAACTGGGTGGGTTGGTTCCATCTCAGAAAATTCTGAGCATACTAATCCTAGCTTATATATTACTTACTTAAGAAGGACAAAACTTAGATTCAACTCAATATATGCTTTTGATGTTATTCTTTAATTACACAGATTATCAAAGTGAAATACTGATATCACTGGAGAACAGTACTAACAAGTTAAAAACACCGAAGTAACTACGTATGAGATAAAGAATGGCAACAAGTCATAACTAAAGCTTTAAGTTGTTTGTTCCTTCTAGTTTTTCTATTAGCATTATGCCTAACTGAGGCTTTTTTTTTTTACCTCTGTGAAGTGGTAAAAGAAAATGTACTGGGACTATTAAGAGAAAAAGGGTTGGGAAAAAAATGATGGAAACTGAACTGTCGGCATAATTAGTAAATGATCGGTGTTCAGCATATGTTTAAATGTGCAATATTACGATTCAGTGGTCTGTATGGGTTCATTTCTACGGATATTTTGAAATATATTTCTCACTCCTGCTGTACATCTTAAACTGTTCCTTGTTTTGTTCCCTCTTGCTTTTTAGATTTGGCCCACTTCATGTGCAACTCACTCAGACATATTACTGACCAATATAAAATATAAAAATAGTTTCTCAAAATAAGATGGATGGTTGTACAGATAATTTTTGCATTGAGGCAGACACTTCTGTGAAACTACACCTACACCATCTAATTATGATATGTTATGCTCAAAATGAACAATTTGATCTGTCTCTCTCCTTGCTATAACTCTTTAGCTACTAAAATGATCAAATTATTATTAACATCCTGATAGGGGACCGGTGTTTTTCACCTCTTTTTCTGTACTGCATTAAAAAAGAGGACATTTTTATATAATTAGGACTGATGTATCAGTTCAAGTGACATTCCTAACATTAAGTTCGAACAACAAACTTTGATGGTTTTAATGAAACGTTAATTCATGTGACTACTCATTCAACAACTACTAGCATTATGGTGCTAACCAAAGACACCAATGGGGTCTTTTCTGCATGTCATTCCAATTGCAAAATTCAAATTTTATGCGCATTGGTGGACATATTTATCTTCTCTTCGTATTAATCCATTCAGAAAATACAAACTATGCATACTTGGATGACATGCAAGATCACTTTCATAAAACTATTCCCAAAGCATGTCAAATCCTAGAAGAACCAACAACAAACTCACACAAAAGCAAGAATTCAATTCACATTTCATACAATCTAACCATCAACAATACTAATAATCTAACAAGATAAAAGAAAATAAAATATGTGCCTCAAGAACTGATTCTTATCTACTGCAGGAAATGGACTAAGCATTCACAAAAACCCGAGGCTGTTCAGTTTCATTCCAGTTAAAACACTTGACAGACCAACATATTGACATTTTGTGGATCAAATTGCATTAAACAGACCTCAAAAAAAAAACTTGATCTGTCACTGACAAAAAAGTGAAACAACTAATAAACCAGTAGAAAAGGAAGTAGATGAGGACAAGATATGCTGAATGCCACAACAAAAAGAAGAAAGAAGGCACGATATAAGAAAATATTTGTTCTTATTTGCGCAAAAAATACAAGGAAAACAGAGTTAGTACCTCTGTAAGCATGGTGTCTCTGCCTTCCACTGAGAAGTTTTTGGGAAAATGATGATCGCAGAGAAAACTCAGAGAGAAGTAAAAAAATGTTTTGGCAAAACCAATGGTGAATTTACGTGTCTCCTAACTAGTATGCTTCCTTAAACATCAGACATTTAAGAATCTGGTCCCACTGGACCTGCAGAACATTAAAATAAAATATACAACAAAGAGAAAGAAATGTATCATAGAGGATCTCTCTAAAAGAAAGAGGTGAAGAAAAAAATAATACTATAAAAAGGTATGAGATGAATAATATAACCACGTTATTTTTTCCTAAGAATTAATATTTTCTTAAGTAAAGAATGTACATAACAAATAGTTATAATAATAATAATAATACAAAAAAAAGTGCAACATATGGTTGGAATAAACCTTTAATTTGGTGCCATCGGGTAACACTTCACACTCTTAATAGGTTTCAGTGAAGAGAAAATAAAAGGGGCGTAGCAATTGATAAGTGATTGAAGAGAATAGTTGTTATTTTTTTGTGCGGCATGTAGTTTTTGAGTTTGGTGGAGAAGTAGAAATCAAAACGGTTGGGAAGATATATCTGATCTATGCGTGGTGTGGCTTAATTAGCAAAAGTGTTGGATTTTAAACACTTTCTGTCACCATTGATTGGTAAAAAATCGCTTAAGCAGCAGGTCAACAACGATGAACAATTTACTCCACTGTTATGATCAATGGTTGCTTATCGCAGCACGCAAGTGAAATTTATGTTCAATGCTGAAAATTGTTTACTCTCAATGCTGTTTGGTACGACACTCTTCTGTTGTTAGTTATTTGCATTTTAAATTTCTATAAAGTTCAGGTTTAATTACAATGTTGATTTATAATTCTCAATTATAATTCTATCTAAACCTTAACAAATGCCATTTATGATTTCTATTTTAATAAATTAACAATATTTTTTAACATAAAATTAAACTTATAATCCTATATCATTTCAAAAGATGAGGATATAAAACAAAAATGAACAAAATATATTGAAAAAATTAATGTTAGTAATGATAACATGAAATAATAGAAAGTTTAGTAAAGAAAAATGGCTAAAGGATAGATAACGATATCAAATTCATTAGTCATGTTTTATAGGTCTTTATACATTTTTTTGGATATCTATGTATTTTTCACTCGTAAATATAATATTTTGAATTCCTATATTTTGACCTAGAATATTACTTATTGCTTATTTTATGTCGACAGATCCATGCAACATGTTCCTCAAGTTGCTTCTCTTTATTATGTTGGTCTATATTTTCATCTTTTTTTAATTTATTAATCATATCACTTTTTTTTATCAACCTTCTTCGCTTTTCTTCTTGTATAACATCTTTGAATAATCAATTCAATATTTAATTACTTTTTTTATAACACAAAATATATAATTTAATTAATTCATCATCTTTCATCTTAGGCTCCATAGTCAATTTGTTTTTTTTTCTTTTTTAATTGATTACCATCGTCCTCATATTCTTTATTATTTTTTATTTTATAGATTACTTGACTTTTATTAAATATATCTATGTACATTTAAATATATGATTTATTTCTCTTATATTTATGAGTTAGAAATTAATTTAAAGTGTGTTTTTTATAATTAGTAAATATACAACATAATAAAAATTTATTTTTAAAATTAAAATAATTTTTTTAATGTTAGACCTTATTTAGTTTAACGTAAATTTTATTTTGTATTTTTTTAGGATTTCATCTTTTTAGTGTGCATGAAATTTTTTTATTGAGTAATAACATTAATAATTAATAATAGAATATTTGATATTAAACATTTAACCATGATAAAATATTGATGATTATAAATTAATTATCATAACTTTATGATGTTAAAATTGAAATAATCTCTTACTTCATTTTTTTTTAGGCTTTATTTTATCATTTATTTTTCTCATTCTTTCTTTTTCACGTCAACCACCATGATTGATTCCACTAAATTCATTTACGCTCTTGTTGAATCAAACATCAAGTATCATAACTCCATCACTCAAGAGATGAAAAGCGTCCAACATGCAATGTGAACAAAACTGTTCAAGATTCAAGCAAGTTCCCACAAGGTGCTTCACCACATCATTCCATCAAAGCCAAGTAAGGAGAAGGTACCGATCACTGATGTTGAAAATGACTTACAGTCAAGCCTTGATATTAGAGTTCTTCCATGGATATATGTGACAATCTCTCACGACCGATTGCATCAAATTCTTGAACCAAATACAACAACAATGGAGACATGTAATAAATTGCATGATATATTTCAGAACAATCACTTCTACCTTTCAAGTCGCATCACCATCTGTTTTTGTTGTTTTAGCTCCATCATTATGACACGCTTGATTAGGTTATCTAGGATAATCTATTTTAGGCTCTTAGATTGAATAAATTTATTGAGTATAATAAAAATCATAGATGTCATATATGTCATTCATGTTCTCTTGAGAAACATGTTAAGTAACTATTTGTTTCTTCCAATTCTTCCGTTGTTATGCCTTTTGATATTATACATACTGATATTTGCACATCTTCTATTTTGAGTTCTTGTAGATATCATTATCATGTTTTGTTGTTGGATGACTACTCTAATTTTTGTGGACATTTCCATTGTTTCAAGCTTTTTTCTACTTTTCTATCCTTTAAAGTGTTCATCCGCACACAATTTGAATGAAATGTCAAGAGCATATAGTGTGACATCGGTAAGGAATTTGATAATGGACCTTTTTGGGAGTTTTGTAGAAAAATGGGTTAGTGTTTCGATTTTCTTGTCCACATACATGCATCATCACAAAATGACAAATCCAAAAGAAAAATTTATAACCTAATAACATTGTGTGTACTTATGGAAGCCTCAATAAGGGTGTTTTCACTTTCATGAGAACAAATATTACTTATGATATACAACAAGTGTGTTTATACATGCATGACCTAAGGGAGGAATACATGCATGCTCTTAAACACATTGTTCGATACTTACAAATTATAATACACTCTTAATCATGGTCTGTATCTCTATTCATCATCCACATCCTCCATTTTTTCTTATATAGATGTTGTCTAGGGTGGGTGCCCTGACACTGGACGCTCCACATCTAGTTATTATGTGTTTCTTGGTAATAATTTTATTTTTTTGTCCACTAAATGACAAACTATTCTGTCATAGTCAAGTGCAAAGGGGATATAAAGACGTGTCTAATGTGGTATATGAATCTTGTTGGTTACGAAACCTTCTTCTAACGTGGTATATTTCTCTAAAAATCTAGTTCAACATCAATGCACTCAATATATCAAGATGTATATTCATTTGTCCATGAGAAGGTTGCTTAAAGGGAAGTTCAAGTCTTACACGTGTCATCGCGTTATCGAATTGTTGACATCTTTACAAAAGTTCTTCCATTAATTTTATTTGAAGATTTTCGAAACACTCTCAACGTTCATCCACCTCGAGTATAATAAAGTATATGATATTATGCACTTAACCATAATATAGTATTCAAGTTCATAAATTAATTACCATAGATTCAGATTTCATAATTTCTTTGATTTTAACTTATTATTTTTCATGTAATATAGTTTATAACAAACAAAACGGATATTAAAATGATATGAAAAAATCTTTCTTTAAATAACATAAGTTTTTTGGATATATTTCTCTTCAATTATATTAGAATATTTAAGCACATTTGAGCACATGTGATTTATTGTTTCAACTCTCATCTTTAAAATAACTATCTTTTCCAAAAACAATAGATGATCTCCTTCCTTCCGTCTTCATTTTTATTTTTATCTTCATTTAATTAGGAATTCATTTCAATTTTTTATAATTCTTTATTTCGATTTCAATTTTCTATAATTTTTTATTTTAATTTTAATTTTATAATATCTAGCATGACCTTTATTGTATGTATGAATATGTTTCAAAATAAACTCTCCGTCTTCGTTGTGAAATCAAGACAATGTTTTTTAGTTAATTATGATGGCATATTATATTAAATATCATTCATAAATATCGATGAGTGTAACTTGATTAAACCCAAGAGCGTTTTCTACGTTCATTACATATCCACATCAACCGTGGAGTAATATTGAAGACATGATGAAGTACAAATTGGAGTGTTGCTAAAGGCCTATTAGCGGGATGGAAATTTGTAGGGTGAGAATCTGACAGATAGGAGTACATATTTATAGATGATGTATATTAGTCAATATCATCTCCACTGAAGGCAAAAATATCGAAGCTGGATTCCATGAGAAAGTACGTGCATTCTCCATGACCCACTGAGGTGTAGCTATTGCCCTTTCTACTTTCTACAAGAACATGATTTGATTATTGTAAATTGCAAAGTGAAATGGTACCAGTTATATTTCAACTTATTTTATATAATAGATACATTATATTTCTTTTCCCTTGTATATACTACTCATTAAAATTACTGTTCAATTTGAAATAATAAAAAATTGAACTATTTTAAAACATTACTCAGTATGCAAAGTACCAACATTTACATAATTAGAATTCAATGCAGTTGAGGACCAAAAAAAGGAAAATGTAAGGAAAATTGTAAAGAATAAGTAATAAATAATATAAAAAGTTAAAAATATTTTTCAAGAAAAGAAAGGGAGTGTAAGATAAATTTTGAAGAGGAGGGGGTGCTGCATGTAGATGTCCAATGTTTCAGTGACCCAAAAACACAGGCCCATATCATAACTCTTACAAAAGTAGAAACAAACAAAAAAATCAGAAAGCCGAAACCCTTATTCTTCACGATGTCGATGTCCGCCGGCATGCGCTCCGCCGCCTCTCGCGCTGCCGGTGCGGCCAATCTAGCAGCTGGAGCTAGACCGTGACCGTGCGGCCAAGCTATGTAAATTCTTTTACTTGGCAATTATAATTTATAATCAGAATTTATTTGGTACAACAGGTTGAACAAGCAAGAACGGAACTGTCTTAGATATGTTCCAAAGAAAAAATAAAATAAAATCTAATTGGACTTGAAACTTCTTCAATCTCCACACATGCTTAATATCTTAAGATGCTATACGTGTGAAAATCAAGAAAGTAAAAATCCTGAAAAAGCAATGGGAAATATAGAGTCAAACCATCCAATCCACAACAATCCAAAAAATGAGATAAATGGTTACAAATACTAAGCATTTTCAGAATTTTTTTAAATAATCAATTAAAATTATAATTTTTATATCTCGTATCAATCAAATCATTCACAATTTTTCATAAATTTTCTTATCACTTTCCATTCATCCAAACAACTTTAACTTTATCTTGATTTCCCTTCAAATCTCTCCTTTTTCACTCTCTCATTTCCACTCTATCAAATGGGAGTGAATTAGTTGTGTTCAAAGAGCATGTGTCCTAGGTCAGGTGCACACAGTCAATCACTATCTAAGTTGCTATAATTTATAGAAAACAAAAATATTTGACTTGAAAATCATATAAACCAAATGTAATAACGTCTCTTGAATAGGTTAAAGAAGCACACCTCGATTGAAAAAAATTACCTGTGCATTTTTTTTTTCTCTTTTAGTGGTATTCTAGAACGATACAATTATTTTAGTTGATTAAAAAATATATTTGTTTAAATATGTAAATGTCTTAGCTAAATATTACAGGGATTTAAATTGAGTAAAAATTTATTTTTAATATCTATTTCTTTTTATGGAATTGTTTTGTTACAATTTGTAATGAGTATAATTTCGAAAATTTATGCATAATAAATTACTTAAATCTTATATATAACTTTTAATTATGAGCAAATATCTAGATTTTACTTATTTATATTTTTTAGAACTTAGTGAATTCATAATACAGTACTGAGATTAGTGTTAAGATGAGATATCTAATACATAAATTTTCATCTTTAAATTGAAAATGTTACCCAAAACTCTTTTTGAGTAAATAAATAAACATCTTTTTAACTTCTAAGATCGATATTAAGATAAAGTATTTAATTAGGATATTATAATAAGAAATTTTTAATTAGTTTTGATAGTTGTTTAAATTTAAAATTGATCACAAAAAAACTATCTTTTATGCTAATGTTTTCCGTGGAGAAAGTTATTAATATTATTAATTTTATTGACAAATAGCATGTTAAGTGAGACATATGAAAGCATTACAGGGAAATTGATAGCAATGTGAAATATTTTCCTACATTTTGAAGAATATGATTTTGATGAAGATTCAAGTTAATACCATTCAAGACTCATGCAAACCCAAAGACTAGATAGAGTCTTAGAACACTGGATATGAAGGTACAAGTTGATAAAGTAGTATTTTGCGTAAGTCTCCAAAACACAAATGTGAAACAATTTTCGTATTATGATGATTTTCACTGTCATAATCGATTATGACAGTGAGACTTTAAAAAATAATTGCTTCATGTGCTGACATAATCGATTATGAACCTCTCATAATCTTATAAATCAAGTATATCTTAAACTCTCCCTAGATATGTCAATAACAAAATTCCCCCTTACTTATCTGAGCAAAATTTCTCCTAACTCCCTTTGTTTAATTCAGAATTAGGAATGAATTTCACATAACTTTTAATTCATCAAAATCTTCCCCTGTTTCATTGATAATCATGAAAAAATATTACAACGGAAAATTTTAAACCAAGGCAAATAAACTACTGCATTACAAACAAAGGTACTACATCAAATTCAAAAAAGAACATCAAATTCAACAACATCAAGGAAGTCCTAGGAACTAAATATCATCCTCCTCGTCGTTTTGCGCATGGGATCCCCTGATGGTCCTTTCAATTGAAGAGAGACGACCATCAATATCCAGAAAACCTCTGCGGATGGAGAAAGTCATGACATCCACTCTTTGATGCATGTAAGCATTCATGTCTTCATAATTTTTCTGCTAAATGGCAAACCTCTTTTCTTGAGCAGCTGCAAAATCCGCTTACCACTGCTGTTGAGATGTGTATCTTTGATCCTTAATGACAGAAAAATCCAACTGCCACTGCTGCATATTTCGCAGCATCCCCATGTAATCATCTTGGGCAGAAGAAGGATGAGACACGTCATGTTCCATTGCCGCTGGTCTTTCAATCTGAATGGGTTCATCTTGAAGGACCCATTAATCATCTGGTTTGTGCAGACCCATCCTGTGTAGCTCATTTTGACCAACCGTAATGTTACTATCCAACATGACACATCTCTCATTGGAGACATCTACACCCGTGTAGACCAAAATCTTCGAAATAAAGAGAGCATATGGCAGATGAGAGTGTAGACGACTAGTCGTGCACAAGTGTGAAGTTATGATGGTTGGCCAGTTGCGAGGGATTCCACTTGTGATGCCATAGAGGAGAAGTACATCCTCAGTAGTCAACTGGGCATGATTTGTTTCTCGAGGACAAATAATCCAACTCAGCATATATGCCAACAGACGTTCATTCACTCTCATGGGGCCATTCTTGTATAAGCCAATATTGCCAACATTCTCATCCCAAAGAAAACCCCGGTAGACCTGCATTTTGTTGAAACCTTCAAAACCTTCAGTGATGTCCACACCAACATTGGTGGGAACTCCAACCACATTTAGCCAGATATCATCGTCTAGCACGATATTAACACCTATCACCCGGGAATAATAGAGGTCATCCTCATCCCGCTTCAGATTGTTATAAAATACCTTTACCAAATCAAGATAATAGAGTTTTTCAGTGTGGTATCCACCTCCTAACTCCAGAAATGTGGAGAGACCCTAATTTGCTAGAAGCTCTTGAAAAAAGAAACCTTCAGAACGGAAGAAATCTCGAGACAAACATTGTGGAGGAACTAACTTCCTATCTTTGAAGGATTGCAGAAACCTGTCTTAATGATCGTCATCAGGGATCCAACCAGATAAGTTGTTGGACCTGACAGGTGTTGAAGATTGGGCAGTCTCCTTTCCTCTTCTACGTGTGATCAACTTCCTTCTTTAGCTGCTAGAGGAAGACATGATGATGAAGAAGGAAAAAGGATAATGAAAATATGAATCTTAGAGAGTGAAAGGGAAGAAAACTTAGATAGTTAGAGAGAGGGGAATGAAATGATTGCAAAGAGAATGAAATGAAATGGAATGCAGTAGTTTCCCCTAATTGCAGTATTCTTATAGAGGTAGATTTCACTCAAATTCAAATTCAAATTCAAATTCACTCAAATTCCAAAATATGGACAGATCTTGCAGAGGATGAAATAGGTATGGGAGACACAAACAAAAGGTTTTTGAAAAACAAAGCTAAAAAATTGCGTCATAATCGATTATATGGTTCACATAAGCGATTATGACAGAGTAGAAACTACACTCTGGAAGAAAACATAATCGATTATGGCAACACATATATAAACAACATAATCGATTATGACATCACATACAAAAACAACATAATCGATTATATTAGTCCTTAATCTATTATTTCAGAGCCAAAAGAATAATTTTATGCCACGCTATAATCGATTATGATATGTCATAATCGATTATGACAGTAAGTAAAAGTCACTTAGCAACATAAAATGATATAGAGAAAAATATCATATTAAGAAGACAATATCTAGGATACCCAAGGCCTGTCTTAACTCATAAAACCTATCTCTAGGTAATGGTTTGGTAAATATATCAGCTAACTAATGGGTGGTATCTATGAATTCTATTATGCAATCTCCTTTTTGAATATGATCTCTAATAAAATGATGTCTAATCTCTATATGCTTAGTCATAGAATGCATTATAGGGTTCCTAGTAAGATTTATTGCACTAGTACTATCACATTTTAAGGGAATATGATCTAGGAAAATGTTGTAATCTTCTAGCTGGTGTTTCATCTAAAGAATTTAGGCACAATAACTACCCGCAACTATATACTCATATTCAGTTGTGTATAGAGCAACACAAACTTGTTTCTTGGAGTACCAAAAAACAAGTGAACAACTAAGTAGGTGACATGTCCCACTTGTACTTTTCATGTCCAATTTACATCTTCCATAATCTGAATATGAATATCCTATAATGCTAGGTGAAGCTCCTAAGGGGTACCAAAGGCCAAATGATCTAGTTCCTTTTAAGTATGTAAAAATTCTCTTAACAATAACTAAGTGTGTATCCTTAGGATTAACCTGGAATCTAGCACAGCCACACACACTATGCATAATATCAGGTCTACTTGCTGTAAGATAAAGTAGGGAACCGATCATACCTCTATATTTGGTTTGGTCAACCGCCTTACCTTGTTCATCTAGATCCAGATAGCAAGACGTTGCCATTGGAGTAGCTACTTCCTTTGAATGTTCTAGTTCAAATTTCTTGATTAATTTTAATTGTGAGATGAAGATGTCATCAGTGTTCTGTTTGATTTGTAGTCCTAGAAAGAATGTCAATTCACCCATCATCGACATCTCGAACTCACCTTACATTATCTTGACAAACTCTTGACAAAGATCATTGTTAGTTGAGCCAAAAATTATATCATCAACATAAATTTGAACTACAATAATATTTTTCTTATGCTCTTTTATGAATAAAGTTAGATCTACTTTACCTCTCCTATAGTTGTGACTTACCAAAAAGTTGCTTAGGCATTCATACCACGATCTAGGTGCTTATTTGAGTCCGTACAAGGCTTTCTTCAACTTGTAGACATGATCTGGATGTTGATAATCTTCAAAGCCAGGAGGTTGACACACATACACCTCCTATTTGATGTATCCATTTAAGAACGCACTCTTCATATCCATTTGATATAATTTGAATTTCATGATAGATGCATAGGCTAGTAGAATCTGGATAGCTTCCAATCTTGCTACTGGTGCATATGTATCGTCATAGTCAATCCTTTTTCTTGATTATATCCTTTTGCAAC